GACATTTTGAAATATTCAGAGAAACATAATGAAAACCAAGCCACATTGATTTTCGTAGATGCAGAGAAGACCTTTGAGAATTTGAACTGGGTTTTCTTGTTCAAGGTTTTGGAAGATAAGAATTTTGGAGAGAACTTTATAAAATGGATAAGATCGATTTATACTTCACAGAAAGCAGAAATAATTGTTAATGAAGATCTAAGAAAGCCCTGTGAGATACAAAAAGGAACAAGACATGGATGCCCACTGTCTCCTCTCTTGTTTATTTTGCTTCTTGAAATACTAAATAGAGATATGAAACAAGATGAGAAGATTCTGGGAAAAAAGATTTAAAAAGAAATTTATAAGTCGGGGCTTTTGCAGATGACTTGATGTTGGTTCTGGAAGGTCCTTTAAAGGGAATTGAAATATTAATGGACAAATTAAAAGAATTTGGTGAAATAGCAGGTTTCAAGATTAATAAACAGAAGATAAAGATGCTAACAAAATATTAAAACAGAAGATCAAACAGAATTGATGAAGAGCAGGTGGCAGTTGTGGCTAGGAGGGCCTTTGCACAGCTTCGTTTTGTGTGTCAGTTGTACCCGTTCCTAGATCAGAGGGACCTACTCACTGTCACTCAAGCCCTAGTCACCTCCTGTTTGGATTTCTGTAATGCACTCTACCTGGGGCAGCCCTTGAAGAGTATCCGGAAGCTTCAGCTGGTGCAAAATGCAGCAGTGCATGCAGTTATGTGTGCCCTTAGGCTGGTACATGTTGCTCCTCTGCTCCATGAGCTGCAATTGGTTGCCAGTTTGCTTCCGGGTCCAATTCAAGGTGCTGATTTTGATCTTTAAAGCCTTTCATGGCATTGGGCTGGGTTACTTGAGGGACCACGTCTCCCCGATCACATCTGCCTGTCCCATCAGGTCTGGCAGAGAAGGCATGCTGCAGTTCCCATCTGCCAGAGAATTACATTTGGTGGGTCCCAGGTGGCAGGCCTTCTCTGCTGCGGCGCCCACCTTGTGGAATCTTCTCCCTCCAGAAGTGAGATTAGCTCCATCCCTCTTGACATTCCGCAGGTCCCTCAAAACCTGGATATATGATCAGCCTTGGGGCTCCCAGGGCACTAGGGAGATTTCGTGATGACTCCCTTATTAACTTTATCCCCTCCTGTTTTCTATGCTGTTTTGCCGGCTTTTATATATATATTTTTATTTCTAATGGTTTTTAGGTATTTTTTTTTTTAACTGTTGCATGCCACTCAGAGTCACTTTGTGTGAGATGGAAGGCAATATAAATATGATAAACAAAATAAAAATAAAAATAAAATATTTGGGTATCAGTATGACAAATATAAATTGTATGTTATTTCAAAATAATTATGATAAAAATGAAGGTCTTGCCTAGAATGATGGTTTTGTTTCAGACAATGCCTGTTTTGACAACTGATGC